TGTTCTTATTTTAAATATAAACTGAGGCTCAGACAGTTTAACTTGCTTAGGTGGGGCTTGATCTTTGGCCTAGTCCATGGAGTACTTTAGGTATTTTAAGAAAGGGTAAAAGAAGAGAAAAGAAGAGATTTAAATACAAATATAACTTACAGTGGTTCAAGAACACACTGAAATAGCTTCGAGGGAGACACAAAACATCTTTCTGTAGGTCACTAAACAGGATAAATGAGTCCTCAGATTAGAAGACCTTCCAAAGTCTCTACCAATCCTGGATTCTAGGGGTCTGTATTTTTTCTATGATAAGATTTTCTTATAGAAGCCAATATTTTAAAATGCAAAAAAAAAAAGTGTTAGGTTTCAACTGGGAAATATGTCAGGGATAACTGGGAGGGGACAGGGGAAACCTGTCCCTCTGCTTGGAGTGTACATCATCTAGTCACCCTCATCACCTCCTGGAGTCTTCTGGTGGGCTCCTCACCACTGCCCATGCCTTCGTTTCTGCTATGCCCAACACGTGGAATATAGAAATATGAGAATATTCCCAACATTGGGAATACCAACTTCCCGCTTCCATTTCAAATGTAGATCCCACACTTAAGGTCACGTTTCAAAATCCACATCCCACACAAGACCCTCCTGACTAACCTCAACCTATAATGATCTTACCTAGTCTCTGCAATCTTACATCCCTCTAGTCTTCTGACCCCATTACCTAGCACTTAATTAAATACAACTCTATTCTACTTGCTTTATGCAAATTGCTTTCCCAGCAAGTTTATGAGTTTCTTTTTCTATTTAAAAAATGGGGCAGAGTCGGTCCTGAATTCATGCTTATCTGTTAGCAGGCAAACATTGGCAAGGTAACTGCCATCACAATTTCATTACTTAGAGATGATTCACTGGAGGATGATCTAGGGTGCTGGTATCCATAGATACAGTCAGAGTATTAAAAAAAGAAATTAAAAGCAAGCCTAACTTAATTTAGGATCTATTTCTAAAGTAACAGAACCATGGTCCCAAGAGTTTCCAATGAGAAAGAGGAGGCAGACGGAAACTGAGGGGATGACATCGTGTCGCACAAAAGTGGTTGTGTTGGCACAAAAGGCTGACACGCCAACCTCCTCCTGTCCCCCACCGGAGTCATGTGGCCACCCTTCTCTGCTGCTCTGCCTCACAGTTTGAATTCATTGCCCTGCCTACTGCTGCTGTGCCCTTTGAACAGTTCCAGCTCGCCCTGGAGGAACTGTGACATTTTAGTGGTGGGCGAGGCTACTCCTCTGTAAAAAAGTGTATCTGTTGGGAATGCAGTTTTTGGAAGAAAGACACTATTTAAAAAGAAGAACACTATTTCTTTGACAGCCCCATAGAATGGGGCGAATGAATTAGAAACAGCAAATCAGATCCAAGTTGCTATCAAGCCCTGGGAGGCTCTGCAGTGGGGCCCTCGATTTTATGCCGGTCATTATACTTTGCCATCACCAATTAGTTCCACAGTTTCAGTAGGAATATGCGGGCTGTAACACTGTCAAGAAATGCTTTTCTTGGAATATGGAGAAGGAAGTATAATGAGGAGCAGGTTTATCGGAGAAGAGACTCTTGGGATAACACATTGTGAATGGAAAACTCTTGGTGTCGTAAGTTGTAAGCAAGTATGAAGAGTGTTTCAGTAATGAGCCAACATTTCATGTAATACAGCGAACAACTTGGCTTACAGTCTAACAGACATAGTATACAGGTAGTCATGTACCCAGAAAACAAGGTGAGAGCCATAGAGAATTCAAGAGCCTGAAGTACTAGAGACAGGGTAAATGAATGACCTATTCAGAACCACTAGGGTTTATTAAACTAGAAATTACTCCAAACTAGGCAGCTTTTCTAAAAAGAAGATACATACAGGAAGAGACTTGCAGGCTTTTCCATGAGTTTGGAGCTGCATCTTGAGTCTGCCCAGGATCAGGCTGATTTCTGGGAAGAAAGTTCACAAGGCACCTTTTCGTTTGGGTTTTCCCTGTTATACGGTATAAACAAATAATCCTCTTGCTTTCAGATCACCTAATTTTGTTTCTCTTAAGGTCTGATACTTCAGGGGATATGTAATCAATGTGAAACCTTTCACATCTTCTGTTTGCGTTTAGGGAGCTTGGCAGTATTACTAAAGTGGAAAATGCTGGGCATTAAAAGAGAATATTTTCCTTTTATTTTGCTCACTGTAAAAATAAGGAAATTAGTAATTATTGAGAATGAGCATATTTTTAAGGGCACGCTTACTTACGGCTCTAAAAACAAACAAGACCCCCCTTTTCTTCTGTTTTTGGAGCCCTGTACTTAATGCCACAGGTCTCCATATAGGATGGGTCCAGCTTTTTTTCCCCTCAAAGTGTTAACCACTTAGAACAAAAGTGATTAAATAGTTGGTTTATGGACTTTAGGCTTTATATCAACTGGTCTCTTCACTTACTCCTTTAACTTCTGTCAGGAATAAAATCTATTCAGCCAAGGGCAGGGTGTTCTCTAAACTCAAATAACGAAATGGTCAGAAGGCAGACCTGCTGAGAGGTAGACAGTATCTGCCTGATAGCAGAGCCCTTAGGATTTGTTCTTATAAGTAACCTGTTGGGCCTGAGTAAGCCCTGTATACCTCTGTTATGTGGCAAGTGTCGTGGGACAAGGGTGGCACTCACACTGCTGCTCTTCCAAAGTATAGTGAGAAAGAGCTGTGCTCAACAGTGCGTACAAACAGCCTGTGACCTGACAGAGTAACCACACTGAGGATTGGAAAGGTGTTTATGAAGGGAACTTAGTACATGCTCTTCATTAAGCGTGACAAGAGAAATAAGAACAGAATTACTAACTGTCCTAGAAAAGCACTTCCACCATTGAAATGTCTAATTAATTTTGGGAACTTCTAATTTAAATTTAAGAGCATAAGTTAATGTTGTTGACTCTCTGGGAAAGTTTCCATGCTACTAGCAAAACTCCATATCCCATCTCATGATAATGTGTCAGAACTCTTCAGGGATGGGGACATTTATGCAAGCAAAAAGAGAAATGAAATTCCTGGTTGAGAGACTCAGCATTTGCCTGGATCAAAAACTTTGCTCCTGGAGACCAGAAAACATGTTACCATGCTGAAGAAATTATTTTTGGTCTATTCCAATCTGAATTTCTTCCATAGGGCTTGAATACTGTGGGAAAGAATTACATCCTCTCAACTCCTCTGAGAAAACATATTTTATTTTTTAAAAGACAAATCCCACAGATAAGAGGAAGAATATCCAGTCTGCTGGGTGGGTTTAGCTAGCTGGGTCATCTTTCTCGGTCCTAGAGCTGGGAGACAAGTTTTCCAAATGTTTCTAGGTGCTGAGGGAAAATGCTGACAGTTTTCCTCATCCTATATAATTCTAACTCAAATGCCATAAATTAAAACTCCAGATATCAGCCTCTGGTGAGAACAAATGGGGTTGAAAAGAGCCTAGCTTGCATCCCGAAAGCTGGGCTGCATCTGTGGTAGTAAAAGTTTGGGTTTGATCAGCAAAACCAGCATGAGATTATCTGGTGTGAGATCTAAGAATGTGTAATCTTTCCTATGATATTTTATCCTCCACAGCGGCAAATATAATGTTCTTTTGAGTTTTCTTTTCTGCTGTTCTTGAATTATCCTACATTTTTCAGCTTGGCCATTCAATAGTGCTTCCAATTGCTTTGAATTTAGGGGTTTAAGCTAATAAAATTTTTAGTTTGATTTTTAATGAGTTTTTTTTTTAACTAATAAAAAAGAAACCCTTGCCGGCTGAGTGACGTGATGGTTAAGAACTGGCTTGGGACACCAGAGGGCCCTGGTTCGGATCCCACATATGAGGGCCAGTGACACTGCCCTCTACAGCTAATATGCTGAACAACAGCTCAGCCTGGAGCTGGGCTGCCATGAGTCGCCGGTGATGGCATAGGCTGCAGTCCCTGTGGCAGTGGGTTGCCATGGGCTACCGTGTGTAGCCAGCAGCCGCCGTGAGCAGCCATTCAGAAGCCGGTGACTGATCTGCCTCACCCGGGAAGAGCGCAATGATGGTGCCAACTTGGGCCAGTGAAGCAACGTCCTCCACAACTAGACTGAAGAACAAAAGGACAGCAACTTGTCTGTTCCCCTTCCCCCAATTCCCCAGCACTGTTCCCATCCCCCCAATTCCCCAATTAAAAAAAAATCTTTAAAAAAAAAAGATACCCTTTTATACATATTGTCAAGGGTGGAAAGCATCCTGGTTCTGATGACACTAGTTATTTTCAAATTGTATTAACAAGTCTGATGGGGTCCTGAACAAATGGAAAAAAAGATATTTTAGAAACTTATTTACTTTTCTATAACATTAGACATCAATAATGTGAAGACAAGAAAATGTTTTTCTTATTCCCACTTTATATTACATGTTATATTATAGCCACTATTAGGATTGAATTGTGTCCTTCCCCTCCCCCCAAATTCATATGTTGAAGGCATAACCTCTAGTCCCTCAGAATGTGACCTTATTTGCAAACAGGATCGTTACAGATGTAATTCGTTAAGATGAGGTCATACTGAAGTGGAGTGGGTCCCTAATCCAGTATGAACTGGTGTCCTAATAAAAAGGGGAAATTGAAACATAGACAAGCACATAAGGAAAGTGCCATGTGAAGATGAAGGCAGAGATCAGGGTGACGCAGATGCATCAAGCGAAGGAACACCAGAGATGGCCAGCAACCATGAGAAGCTAGCGGAAGGCCTGGAACAAATTCTCCCTTACAGCCAACAAAGGAACCAACACTGTCAACATCTTGATTTTGGACTTCTGTGAGACAATTTCTGTGGTTTACGCCATTCAGTTTGTGGTACTTTGTTATGGCAGCCCTAGCAAACTAATACACCCACGTAGAAAGAAATGATCATTACCAAGACCGGCTCATTTTTAAAAGTAGATTCTTTCACAATGGAAGTATCCCAAAAAAGAACAACAATGTTTGGTTCTTACTGTCAGTTCCTGGGGAATAGAATTTGGCTTCTTGATGTTGATCTCAATGCTATTGTTGTCTTGTTTCAACTCCACTGGGGACCCATGCACTCTGGCCACACCTTCAAACATCTGAGATTTGGTTAATGAGGGGGCAAGTGTCACGGTGGGACACTCTCTTTCCTTCTCCTCCTCGTCACCGTGAGCCGTTTCTCCATTCATGCTGACTTTCCCATCGACCTAAAGAAACCGGAATGAACAGAAAATATGCTGTTCCCAAAGAAAGGCTGTAACCAAATAACATATTCAGAATTACCTTAAAATAGTATCCTTTAATAATCATAGTGCAACAAAGAATAAGTTTTCATATGCTTTGATTGGTTTTAGAAATTAGAGCTCATATAAATGCCATTGTTGAGGGTCTCCTTAACAGGTAGTTGGCCTTCTCAGGCCTCTTCACTTTAGATTACACTTCATGTTCACCTTACATAGGGTGTGCTTTCATTATAAAATATAGGAAATCAAGGAATCTTGCATATAAATACATGCCACCTACTTGAGTTCTCATAATTTTCATTTAAATTCTGACCCCTATTCCACAATTCTGAGGTTTTGTTTATCTGGTTAGTATATAAATTAGGTGGAACCACCTCAGATGAGGAAAATTTTACAAGTTATCTTGGGTGGGTAGGGGGCAATGGGTACTTTTTTTCACACTACCATGGAGGGCACAGAACCTGATGCTATTTCAGTAAATCTCTATTTCTAGTTAATTTTACAATCCCATTTTTTTCCAGAACAAAGGTCATGCGCATTAAAATATTTTTGTTTTGCATCCATGTCTAAGGAAGGCAGTGAGAGCAAGAAAGGAGGAGCTGAGAGTGTGGTTAGTCTGGCTTATGAAAGGCATCTAGAAATCTCTGTCTTTAAGTTTAAGGCACTGTATATATAGAATGGATATGAGAGGAGGCTTTGCAGTTAGATGCCTAAGATTGAGTCCTGGCTCTATTACTCAATAGCCATGTAATCTTCAATCTGAGTTTCCTCATCTGCAAAATTTATAAT